CCTAATTCTTTATTTAAAAAAACAAGCACCCCTAAAATGGCCTGAAAGGGTGTGATCTGAGGTAAGATAGCTCTTTGCAGGTGAAACATCCTGGGAAGGATATGACAGTTGGAGGCCATCAGCTCCTGCCATCCCTAAATAAGTCCTTTATTGAACAGAGATCACCATGTCGACCACAGTCGACAGTATTTTAAATCTCCTTTCAAGACAAAATATATACTACTATTTCACATTAGTGTCTGTCTGCATTTTAAAGAAAACTTTACTAGGTTATTTATAGGCCAACTATAGCTTACAAATCCTGTAAAAACACACCCTTTGAAATTGGCAACTCAATCTAGAGAGTCACAATTTTTCATAAACCATATGTGTGTGTGTGTGTGTGTGTGTGTGAAGAATGCATCATTCTTTAATTTATTTATTTATTCTTTCTAGTGAACCTGATTGCTTCCCACTGAGCTACATAGACTTGTTTTTAAAATTTGAGACAAGGTTTCACCAAGTTGCTAAATTACCAGGCTGGGCTCAATCTTGCAATCAGCCTCCCAGCGCACTCCAGCGCACTAGGATTACAAGTATGTACCACATACCTGGCTAGCATCCTTGTTACCATCACTTTGACACATCAAGCTATTTTTTAGTTTTTATCCACAAGTTACTCCCAATTTGAGAATAGTCCAGAACATAAAACTTTTGCCATATCTGTGCCTATCTGGAGAAGCTTTGCAGTGGTAGAAAGAGGTCTCTTTAAAAGAGCTCCTGTTTTTTTTAAGATGCATTCAACATAGTGGGCTTTAGTAATCTAAATCAGAATTTTTGTCCCATGAAAGCTTTTTGAAAAAATTTTTAAGGTCAAAAGCCCAAGAACTCTTGTCAGTGTATTTCTATATAGTAGAAAGAGCCAGATAGGGTTTTTACTAGCCAAACAAAGTAACATAGACTATTAAAGAACTTATGAGAAGAGAACAAAGGAGAGAATATCTCAAAAGATTCATGTATTTGAAAAGGACTTTCACACTTAAGGCTATGGCTTCTAAAATAATTTAATCTTACAGCATATAATAGTAATGTTTCCTCAAAGGGTAATTTGTCTGGAGAAGCATGACACAGGCTGTTTAAATTAAGGGAGAGCACAAAAACTCTGAGAACCACTGATCAATAATAGTAAGTCCACTCTTCAGTTTCAGTGTAAACTTTTAAACAATAGTGAAAGCTGACATTCAAGTGTGGTAAGTTATGACTATGTGCCAGGCACTACTCTAAAATCTATGTCAAATATCTCGCTTTACTTTCACTGTAACTTGTAGAGTTACAGTGATTAATTATTTTACAGGTGATTAAACAGGGATGAACTTGAGTAACGGAAGAGTTTGGATTTAAATACAAGAAGTCAATTAGAATTAGTCTTAAATACTCTAACCACTATGCCCAACTATGATCCTATGTCAAATTAAGACTAAAAGAAGGCAAATCTCAGGACTTTATGCAGAAACCTAAGTCCAAGAGTTAGGAGTCTTCCAAACAGTCATTGTTGACAGTGAAAATTTAATTAATTCAGATACACACACACACACACACACACACACACACACACACACACTTTGATAAGGGTGTAACTTTTTCAGATTCCATGTATTTCCCCGTTGAACCAAATGTCTGCATAAGATATCTTCTGGAAGCAGAAAAATACATTTAATAATGAGGACCCAGAGGACTGAATTATTCACAGGTGTCATCTAATCTTATTCTCCTACTTTTGAAGAGATGTCTAGCCTGATCTTGAAATTTCTTCAAATAATTTAGCTACAAAATAATGAGCTAATATTCTCTCTCCCTCCAATATAGATGGATGTATGGGTAGAAGGATAGATAGGTAGACAAATAGATAGATAGATCTGCTGTACCATCCATTAATAGTACACTTTAAAATATGGTTTGACATTTTAATGAGATTATCTTGAGTGGAAATAATAATATGGCTCATGTCAGAATTTAATGAAAATATGTTCTTAGCTATTTATTAAAATAAAATATATAATTCCATCATTATCAACTAAAAGTAACAACAAATATTCTTGAGAAAACATTTTATAATTATGAGTATCTTATCCTATACTGATTCACTAATCATGGTGATGAGGATCCCAATCAAAAGGATATTATCAGTGCCAAAGCTAATCTTCTAACTTGTGTGAGATGCTTTTGTTAGCTTCACATATTATATTTTGTTCTACACTTCAATCTAATGCTAAGGAACTCAATTCATTTGCATTTTATTCAAATGAGTTAAACCTACTTTTTTCTGAAGTTAATGAAATACAAAATTCCCTTATCTTTCAAACTGTAAAATTGTTTCTAAAAGTCTTGATTTATAGGAAGTTTCTATTCAAAAAAAGAAATTTGATCCAGCAAAACATAATCATTAACACTTGAAATCTTGTGTGGAGGTTTAGGGAATAAAATTAACATGTTTTTCTTTTTATAGAGTTTTGGTCTTTTTAACCTCTACTTTTATTTTAAAAACAAACAAAAAGGGATAAAAAATGATATAGAATTTCATGAAAGATAGAGAATTAACTCTAGTTAATGTATTGCATATTGGCTCTTTAACATTAAGGAGTTCTTTTTTCTGTAAAATACTGATGTGTGTAATAAAAAATAAAAGACTAATTGGAAAAAGTAAAAGAATAAAACCAAACAAAATTATTTTGAAAGTAGTTGTACTAGTTCCAAGATTTAGGCATGAAAAAACTGATCAAACAATCAGATAATGAAAACACAAACTGCTATTTTTGATGAATTAACAGAGATTACTAGTATTATTATGTATCATTGTGTATACTTACATATACATATATATGTATGTGTATACTTACATATACATATGTGTATACTTACATACTTACATATGTATGTATGTGTATACTTACATATACATATATGTATGTGTATATATATGTGTATACATATTATACATATATATAATCTTTTCTTTCTTTTCTCATTTTCCCATCCCAGGTGTTCTTTCTCTTGAGCACTTTCTTTTCCTTTCAGTTTCACAATATCTATTGTAGATTTTGGATCTCATTTACTCTTTTTTTAAATTTACACTAAGGAAACAATATGATATTTACACATGCAAGTCTGATTTATTTCACTTATGAGTACACTCTCTAGTTGCATCTACTTACATATAAAAGCCTCAAGTTTGTCATTCTTTATAGTTAATACTTCATTGTCTAAACATACCACAACATTTTTATCCATTATGTGATTGATGAGTATGTGGGTTGTTTCCAAGATTTAGCTATTACAAATTATGCTGCTATAAACATAGGTGCATATATATCACTATATTATGTTTTTAAGTCTTCTGGGAAAATATCCAGAAGGGAAATAGCTGGATTGAATGGGACCTCTAATCCTACATTTTTGAGGAATCTCCACACTATGTGGTTGAATAGTGTACAGTGAATAGTCCCACAAACAGTGGAAAAGTGTTGCTTTTCCCCACAGCCTCACCAACATTTGTTATTGATTGATTTCTCAGTGACAGCCACTTTTCTGCAGTGAGATGGAATCTCAGTGTTGTTTTAATTTGCACTTCTCAAATGACCAGTGATGTTAAACATTTCTTCATATATTTATTTTCCATTTGTATTTTTTCATCTGAGAAGAGTGTGTTCATCTCAGATGCCCATTTTTGGATTGGGTTTTGAATTTGGGGGATCTGGTGCTTTTCAGTTCTTTATATGTTCTAGATATAAGCCCTTGTACAATAGATACTGTGAAAATGAAGGGGAAGGAAAGTGCTCAAAAGGAAAGAACAACTGGGATAAGGGAAAGGAGAAAAGGAAAAGGGGAAAAGATTATATGTAATAGGTGTGTGTGTGTGGGTGGGTGGATGTGCCCTCAGGGAAAAAACTGGAACTGATTTAATATGTTTGTATCAAAACTGGTCCTTTCTCTGCCCACATCGGTGGACTTGGTGCTCTTCCTCCTCCTTCTCCTCCTCCTACTTATTCATCACTTACATATGAAGAGACTGTAATTCAGTAAGTTAACTATTATGTCCATAATCACACAGTTAATAAGTGAATTAAAATCTAAGGGTCTTTTCCACACACTGTGATATCACCAGAAAAAAAAATACTAGTAGCATATTAATGAACCAGTACAATCTGATTTGCATATGAAACTAGGATGGTAGTGTGCAAAATACATTATAAGCCAACTCTTTCATCTTAAATATCACAGTTGTACAAAGAAACAGGCATTACAGGATGCCAGTAATTAATCCATGAACTGGGTTCAAAGCAAAGCGTAACCATTCTGATTTTTATTCCAGATAGAAATAGTCTATCTTGAAACGTCATGGATTTTCTTAAATGGCACTATTTCAGTCAAGAAAGTTTCTCTCCAATGATGTCATCAAACATATTAGTATTTAAGAATCACAGCTCATTAAGTAACCCAGTAATTGGTAAGAGTTGGGATTGTTAGGAAAACGGAATTTTGCACTGGTAATTTTCTTTCAGAAGATGAACAGTTACAATGAGAGATTTCTTTTAGTCTTTTCACTAACATTAGACTTGATCTATGCCACAAACCTGTTCCTGATCCTATATAAATGTTTAAAAATCATAAATCCAAAGAGCAAAGTTAGAAAGAAAATGCATCACTAACAGAAGACAAAGTGGGGTGTGGACTTAAAGCTTATTAAGGGAAATTACTTATGTCACTCTTAAAACTCCTTTTCTCTTAGATTTCTTCTCCACTCCCTCCCTCTGTAAATACACTCAGACCCAACAGGTAGGAAACCAGCTTCAGCTCATTCTTAATTTTTCATTGGCTTAAACTGGTAAATATCAAGAGCCAAAACATTGCCTTACATAACTGAAGGTGTGTGGGGGGTGCGTGTGTGCGTGCGACTGTGTGTGTGTGTGTGTGTGTGTGTGTGCGTGTGTGTGTGTGTTATGCGTTAATCCAGAAAGGAGGGAGCCAGTAACAACCCTGAGGGGTTATTTGGAAGACAGAGTTGCTCTCTCCCTTTCAAAGCTAGGTCTGGAAGAGGGGGGTGGGGACTATATCAACCCATCATCACGCCGCTTGCCAGTCTCACACACGGATGCTTCTCCTTCATGTTCTCTGGAAAAATGTTCCCAGATTAGGAAAAGGACATTAAGGCGGGTCTGCCACGAAAGGCGAGTTTTTAACCACTGCAGCACAAAGAAAAACGGAGCGCGCTTTCACATCAACGCAACTCCACTCTCTCGGTCAGTTCTATACTTCAGCACCACGGAGAGCGGCACCTCCTTGGCTACCACCCATGGAGAGCCAGATTCCAGCAACCCAGCACGGGATTCCGGTCATCTAGAGGAGGGACAAGCCCGCGCGTTCTACCCTCAATGTAAGTAGCTACGATGAGTCTTTCAGGCTGATCTTTTTATTTTTTCAATAAAGGTTGTTTTCTCCCTGAAACAAGTAACTTTTATATGCCCTTTCCCTCTGTGCATTGCTGGTTATGACATTTTCCTTGTGTTTAATTGGTAAGGGAATTTTCTTTTCCTTTTACTGACAGTCTAAGTTTACAAAGCCATTTAGAAATAGACCACTCACCCTAGTAATCTAGTCCTTTTGTGCTGGAGTTTTATTACTAAAAGAGAGTATGTGTGTTCTCTCTCTTTTTTCATTATTGAGAGCTTTTTCTGAGGTGGTGTTTTTAATGTTGTATTTATTCTTATATAAAAAAGGAATTTGGAGAAGGAAGACTATATTCTACTAAATAATCACCATTACAGAACTACAGGTGGTGAGCAAAGCCTTTTTTTTTTTTCTTTTCTTTTACTCTAATTGAAAATGTGGTCTGAGCCATACAGTCCTTTAGACATCCATTTCAAAATAACAAATATGCCCTTAAATAAGAGATGTGACCCTGGTACACCTTTGACATGAGCTTTGAAACTATGAACACCAGAGTCTCCTCTTAAAGTTCGAAGTTGTAAATTTATTTATGTATGACTGAGTTATACAACCAAGATGATATTTCTATCAATCATAATTAAAAGACAATGAATTCAGGATACATTTGAAAAAGGCAATAATGATTGACCCTGTCTGGTGGCACTCGGTGAATTTTTGCCTCAGAATGCCACCTGCTGGTGGGTTTTTATTTCTGAAACACTAGCCACACATCAGATTTATGAATGAACTCACATAAAATCTAGAATATTCATTATGGATATGATGCAAACCCACTCTCTAAATAATTTTAACAATGACGTTGATTCAAGTGTCTAACAACTCACCAACGTTCTGTGTCACAACTGTAATTTCATAAACATTTATTTTCAAAACCAATTGCTCTTATGCTTAGAAATATGGAGACTAACTCCTTTAGGCGGTAATTAACCCAGAAAAAAATCAGAACTGTGTGGAGCCTCATTGAGGCTAATTGCAGAATGCATGTGGTGTCTTGGATGCAAGCTACAAGGAACTGTTGCTTGGTAAAAGCAATCAACATTTCCCCTAGATAAATATTCAGCATGTTACCTCTCTTGGTATTTTCATTTCAAAATTTAAGGCCTCTAGTTTTTCCGGGTGGTAGATGTTCATTTCAGGCTTTTATCACAGAGGTCAATGAAACTATAAGAACATTTTAAATATCTATTTTATTCCACAACAATTTTTTTTTAAAATATAACTATCTAAACTTAAACTTGTCTTAGTTTCACCTAGAGATGTACACAATGAAACACAGACACGTAGTTTCGTAACTTCCTGTGTCCAAATAGGTAAATAAACATTTTGCAAATAACTAGAAAAGATAGAAGCACATACCGAGCACTAGTTAAATTTAAATAATTAATATATAATTTAGTTTGAAAATATTGAGAATAACCTCTTTTCTAAATGATATTTTTTGAAAAAATGTGTTACAGATAGAATCACTTATTATCATTCAGGGACTTTAGATAATATTTGTCAATACAATATGCAATGGAAAAACTATCCTGCATTAGAAGAATTATTTGGAAAGTCTATCTTAATACACTGAAATGAGTAGCAGAGAGATACTGTGATTGTTCCCTGTAGTATTACTGGTAAGATATATGAACTCATGTATGTAATAAAGTAATTGGGTGGATATCACTTTATTCAAAATATATAAGTTGTAATAAGCATATTACTATCACTAGCTTAGGCAGGAAGTTAAATATTTAGATCCACAATTAATATACTTAGGAGATATTCAGAGTTAATAATATTTAATAACACTAGAGTATTTACGAGGCACAAAAAAATATATGTACTAACTCATTGCAACTTCAGCAGAATAAGGAAGATGACACTTAAAACAAGTTAGGTGCCTTTAGGCAGACGAAAAGTTTTTCAGTAATATAAAGACATGGAAAGTCTCAATTTTCTGCCCCAATCACTCAAGGCAGGAAACATACCCTCTCACTAACTTAAGTGTCTCATCTAGCAATATATGGACCATCCTTTACAGTGGAAAATCTACATTACTTTGGAATTCATACCCTATTTGAAAATCTATCTGTCATGAATAAGAAATAGTACTTAGAAGATTATAGGACTTCAGCATTTGTTTTTAAAAAATGCTCATAAATACTAACATCTTTCATTGGTTTTGTTGTTATTTTATTTTGCTTTATTTTTTCTTGGTCTTCTTAAGTGATCAACCCAAATCAAGTATTTAAAACTTGACTAAGTTGTTTGACCATATACCATGCGCCAACCATCAGGGGACACTGGGTGCACGTGCCATACAAACACTCCTCTTGCCCTCAAGGATCCTGCACTCCAATGAAAAACTTCACAATTAAAAATCCTTAGGCAAAATGCACAAGGAAGACAGGTAGCAGTGACAAACTGGTCAAAAGCAAGAGCTTTAAAATCAAGCAGACTAGACTTCTGATAATGGGTTTTACAGCTTGAGACATATGGTTATTTAAACCTCATTTCATCATCTGTTAAATGAGAACACAGCACCTAAATAATCTAGAAGCTTGTGAAAATTTGATAATTCACGTAAAGTACTCGGCATGAAAGTTGACATGTGCAATAAATGTTAATCTTTATGATTGAGTAGTCATTTAGGAGAATAGCTAAACTTACATGATAATTTATTTAAATAATAATTCATACAGAGCACTCAGTACAATGTCTGTCACATGGTAAATGTGTATTATTTAACTATCACTATTACATAGTCATTTGAGAAATTAGCTGAGTATATTACTTTAGAATAAAATCTGAATCAATTTAAATAAATGTGTACTTAAGTGTACTAATATGTAAGACTTTGGTCATTATTGTCATGGACAATTGTATAAAGCAGTACAATACTCAGGATATATGATATTTCATCTTCACTATGATCATGAGGAACATGAGAGATGAATTTTATTATATCCTTTAAATTGGGGAGAGAATTGAAGTTTAGGAGAAGACTGCAAATCATTAGACTATTTCATCACTGTTGCTCTGGACTGTAACTCAGGACCTGTACACTCAGGAGAGGAGAAGAGAAAACACAGCTGGGTTTTGCTGAATATCTGACCTGATTCCTGAATTTTCTTTTGTTTTGTTTGAGAATGTTACAGACAGAATTGATTTTAGGCTCCTCAAAGATTTTTGATGCTTGTAGCAACTTTAGGGGAAAAAAAAGACTAAAGTATCTCTAAAAAGACAATTTTAACTGGTCTTTTCTTCATCAGTAATTAACCATAATTCTCATTTCTAAAAAGCATTTTGCTCATGCTCACTGAAAGCTGGACTTAAGGTACAAGATTGATACATTTCTTAGATTACTCACATCTGGCTTCCTGGAGACTGGCTGATGCATCTGTAAGAGCAGTTTAATAAAAATAGTAACTGAGGGATGAATAGGGAACTTAATGATCAGTCTTCTTTTCAAATGTGTTTTTTTTTTTTTCCCAATGGAACCCATCTTCTCAGTAACACCAAATGTCAATGTATGCATTTCTGGAAAATTAAAAACACAGTATCTTAATTGAGGTATTTGATGAATGTGATCTCTCATTATCTCAATAATGTATGCAAATAAAAAGTCATTTGCCTTTCATTTTCAAGAAAAATACTAAAGTACAAGTAATCAAATGCTTGTTAAATTTAGGAAAAATCATTTTGCTTATAATTGACCCTAAAATTGGGAAAGATCATGAAAGCCAAGCAGAGCAACACAGTGTGATCTTTGACCATCAGCTATTAATGATCAAAATAACTCTATGACATCATTTCTGTAGATTCTTTCCAACCCATGTGACACATGTCTAAAACATGAATATCTGTAATATTAAAATTAAATGGTAAAGATATCATAGCTGAATAAATTCATAAGAGTATAAATGCTTAAAAACATCATTAGAACATATCAGGGTAGGAAGAGCCAAAGCTATCAAGAAGCCTACAGTGAAGTTAAATGTCCTCTTTTAAATCTAATTCAATTTATATGATACAGGGTCTGTTGCAAACCCATGTTAGAAGTATTCTCAATAAGGAGCATGTCCCATTATATGTTGATATGCATTTAACCATTGTTTTAGCATTCAAATGTATCACAAAACAGATTTTAAAGGATATGAAAGAGAAACTTGTTTAATTCTTACTACATCAGGGTGTCTGCTTTCAAGGATATTCAGAAAAAAAGATGCATGACAACTAGGGAAGACATTTAACTTTTGACAAGGACTAACTACACATACACACACACATACTTAATAATTTTGTATAGGAAAAAATAATCAGTATAGGAAAATCAAGGTTTATATGATGCTCTATGCTTTTACAGAAATTGTTCTAAAGTTTAGTATTTTCACTTCAATTACCTTGTTTTTTTCATCTAGAAGATGAGAATGCTAGCACCTGCTTTGTATGTTTTGTTTGCTTTGTTTTGTTAATGAAAGGAATTAACAAGAGACACTTGAACATCCTTTAAATTTGGAGGCTGTGACATTTGTGATGTCTGTGATATTCATATGGACTCTGAATTTAGATTGGGTACTTACATGTTCCTTGTGAAATGCTTCTCTGCTCTGACTTGGTCCAGTAGTTATTACATTTCCTTTGAATTTGTCTCCCCAAGGCTTCTTGCTGTGTAATAGTTGGATACCCTTGACCTTGTAGTCTGAGTGATTCTCCCTCTTAGATAGATCTCTGATAGAACACTGACTTGGAATCACTGTATGCTGTGCTCTTTGAGGACAGCTGCTGCTTCATATCTGACATATGGCTCCCATGCTCTTGAATAGAAACTGATTTTTCCTAACTTGAGTTGTGATAGAAATGTCCAGAGAGGTACTCTCCAGAAGTAGAAACTTATCATAGGATGAGCTGAGTAATTCCATAAGAAAAATTATTAGTCTTCGGTGTGCTTAACTTCAATCTGTGTGTTGTATATGCCGAGATGACCTTGAAACAAAGTTCACTACACCTCCCTAAACAAGGTCCTTTGAAAATACTTGCGAGGTAAATGCTTAGCTTTCAACTCAGTTAAACTTCTCCTTCGGAAAAATCTATAATAATAAGGCCCTGCATGCTGTTCATGAATCCTTGTCTCCTATAAACATTTCTACAGGATTCCCAGGCTAAGGTCTGCCCTTGGTATGAATAATTGCGTATCTCTCTAGAACGACAGTATTGTTGAAAAATGGGCTCAGAAGAAACTCATGAACTTAAATCCTGACGATTTTTTCCCCCAGCAATCTTTTATGGAAGTGCATGTTAGAAAAGTGAATGACAGTTCGGATTCTTCCCCTAATGGCATGCAGAGCTCTCTATTAGGATTTATCACTTACAATTGCTTTTGGAGGGAGTTGCCCAAAATTACTCCTTTTATGTTGTGCAGAAGCTGCTCCATCATGGAGTGCAGCAGTATTTCCTAAGAGAAATGTAACTCAGCTCTAGGCCAGATTAAAGTATCAAGTTCTGACCTCCAATCTTTATATCAGGGCTCAGGACCACAAGGACCTAAAACCAAAGAGATCAGAACAGGTTAAAGGTTAAGGGAGAAAAAAATGAAAGGAGTTCAAAATTCAAAAATTCACAACACTGACAATGATTTTTCTATTTTAAATCTCGAAACATCTCATTTTATTTAAAAGCTTTGTTCTGCATAGTTTTTAATAACTGCTATATTTTTCATTTTAAAGTTAATAAAATCCAACAAAACAAAACAGAACAAAGCCAATCAAAACAAAGCAGCAAAATTGGTACAGAACTTCAAAGCAGCATACTAGGGAAACAACAGTAGCTACCATAGGATATCTTGTTACCTTCACAATAGTTGTCCATTCCATCAGGTATAGTAAAATCAAACCAAAACAAACTAGAATAAAACCAATCAAAACAGAACATAAAGCAAAACAATCAGAACAAAAGAAAACAGTGAGAGCAATCTTGGATTTCACAAACAAGATAGAAGGAAATCCCTCATGTTTGCTACATTGCATACTGTCATCCTCCCAACTGATGTTCAGACTGCTGGCTCTAGTCCTGCAACATCAACTAAATAATGCAAGCATTTTGTTGCTTTTTGTACCTTAGTTGCTATCAACTCATCCTGTCCTCTGAACCAGAAAGTTTCTCGGGGGTGGGGGATTGATTCTCAGCCCACCAGGCTCACAGGAGGCACTATTTGACTTTTCTCTTCCTAGGCCCTGCTTGGCTGGCGTGGCTTACCAGAAAGGCTGGCTAGTTGGTTTCTTGGTGATCTCTTCCTATTCCTAGCATGGCCAATTCTTGGGAGGCACTGACTTTTCTCTTTCTGGACCCTATAACTGCTACATTTATAAGAGTAAAAGAAGTCATTTTTAAATTGATCTCATAGTTGTTGAAAATAAGACAATGGTTACAGAAGTAGATGAGTGTGGGGGTCAAGAAAGATAGAGGAACACTGATGGGTGGACACTGAGTAACAGTCAGATAGCAGTAAGAAGCTCTGGTGTGCTGGGGTGACCACAGATCACAATAATGCGTGGGACATCTCAAAAGCTAGAAGAAGAGATTTTAAATGTTCTCACCATAAAGAAATGTGAAGAGGAGATGGTTCACCTAAAGGTTCACCCTAATTTAAAGATTAAGGTATACACATGTGCTGAAATCCATTGTTTTTATTTTTTAAAATAGCTTAAGTGAAATGGTGAATATTCTTTATGCATGGTGGCATAATCCGTAACAAGAGTTGATTCTCTGGGACCATGAAAAAATAGTTAAAAACAAATCTCTAAGCAATGGATCTTTAGAAAAGATATTCAGTTGTTAAAATTCATGCCATTGTAATATTTGAATAGAAAACTCAGGTATGATCAACTGAAGAATCTGAAGAATCAAGAAAGCAAAGTGTCTAGAGACTTAGGGTAGAGATTTCACAGTCCTGAGACCAGGAACTTCTCAAGATCTGAGGGGTAGCAGGAGATGGAATAGCCTGTCTTGAATTCAAATTACATGAGAGGTGTTGTTTATTCTAACTTTTCCAAAGTTGTAGGACTAGCAAATACCAGAATCAGAATTTCTGCTCTATAAACTTTTTGACTGCAAAGGTTGTCTTTTGGGCCCCCTTCACTCACTATCTTCATTTGAGATGAAGATAACAATGATGTCTTCCTCACTTTGATATAAGAATTTTACTCATTAATATATGTGGCACTGTTACTATAGCACCTGGGACATAATAGGAGCTTAATAAATGTTAACTGCTACTGTTAGTAATATTAGTATTAACCTCCACACTATGCCGGTTGGGAAAGAGCAAAGAATTTTTAGTGAACCCTGCATGTAAACTGACCTATTTCTTTATCCCATATAAAAAATCCAAGTTCAAGTGTAAGAATTTCCTCTGGAGGGCTGATTCCATAGGCATCAGAAAGTAGCAATGACTGCATCCCTTCCTGTTGCCATATCTTGCCTTTGAGTGAGTGTTTGACTTGAGCAGAGACCAGAAAACCTTCCCCATAGAGAAGAGCCCAAGATGTATTGCCAGCCGGTGTGGCCATACTTGCGGTTTACTGAAGTTTTACTGCAGTGCAAGAAATCATTAGGAGTGAGGCATCCGAACCAAACGCAGCAGTAACTGTGATGGCCAATTTTGTTGGACTGTCCTTGGAAAAGATGCCTAACAAAAGACAGAAAGAACAGAATAAAAACAACATTAATACCTGTTACTTTATTAATCTTCCCCGTGGACACTGCAACAAACAAAAAGTTGTGAAGGTAAGAAAACAAACACAGAAAGGGTGGAATGGCTTGCTTAACTTTACATAAAACCTACAGCCCTTTCGCGCTTCAGCCACACCCTTTCCCCACACCTCATACTCCACTGCATATCACAACCACCTCAACCCATTTTTCAGCTCTGGTTCCCACCCTTCCTCCAGCTCAGGGCGACTCGGTATTCCTCCACTGGAAAAAACAGTTCGGGCAATCCAATTTGGATTAATCTCAGTGATAAATGCAATGACTTCTAATAAGACTTCACAGTTTGTCATAAGGTTCCAATTACGGCACTATTTTTGAATCTCAGCAATTGTGGTTAGTTTTGACACTAAGGGAGCCCACAAGCCTCTGGGAAAGTGAGCATTGTTGCCTTGTTGTTCCACAGGTTGGGGAGCAGCACCTTCAAAAACATGCAGCGCCGGCACACGACTCTGAGGGAGAAGGGCCGCCGCCAGGCCATCCGAGGCCCCGCTTACATGTTCAACGAGAAGGGCACCAGCCTAACGCAGGAGGAAGAGCGCTTCCTGGACTCAGCCGAATATGGCAACATCCCAGTGGTCAGGAAAATGCTGGAAGAATCCAAAACTCTCAACTTCAACTGCGTGGACTACATGGGGCAGAACGCACTGCAGCTGGCTGTGGGCAACGAACACCTGGAGGTCACCGAGCTGCTGCTCAAGAAAGAGAACCTGGCGCGGGTGGGGGACGCACTGCTGCTGGCCATCAGCAAAGGCTATGTGCGCATCGTGGAAGCCATCCTCAACCACCCGGCCTTTGCACAGGGCCAGCGCCTGACTCTCAGCCCGCTGGAACAGGAGCTGCGGGACGACGACTTCTACGCCTACGACGAGGATGGTACACGCTTCTCCCACGACATCACGCCCATCATTCTGGCGGCCCACTGTCAAGAGTACGAGATCGTGCACATCCTGCTGCTCAAGGGCGCCCGCATAGAGCGGCCCCACGACTATTTCTGCAAGTGCACGGAGTGCACGGAGAAGCAGCGCAAGGACTCCTTCAGCCACTCGCGCTCCCGCATGAATGCCTACAAAGGACTGGCAAGTGCAGCCTACCTGTCCCTGTCCAGCGAAGACCCTGTCCTCACAGCACTGGAGCTAAGCAACGAGCTAGCCAGACTAGCCAACATTGAGACTGAGTTCAAGGTAACTCTCCCACTCACCACTCTGCAGGCAGATAGCCCGGCGCGCTCCTCCCCGTGAGTCCAGCAGCAAAATGGGCTGTCTTTCAATTTTAGAAAGGGTGAGAACTTGTAGGCTTTGCTATTCTAGCTCAGCTGAGAAAGTTGAGCCTTTTCACCTGTGTCAGATGTAAGCCTAAGAGAAAAGCAGCCCACCACCTGGGATATGTTTGACTACATAAATGTGGCAAGGAGTTGATGTTCACACAAATCCATATGGTAAAAGACGAGCAGCATGCAGGCAGGATGATTTGTAGACCTCAACTGTACCCTAGGGAGAGCCCAAATGTGTGGGATATCTAAGTGCCTGAGGATATTTCCTAGTTTGAGGCTTAGACTGCCTCTAGGGCTTACACTCCCTGATCATTTAATCTCCACAGTCCACATCTCCATCCCATCCTGGGCAGTGCTGATCTTAGAGTCAGTCTGTATCAAATAACTTTTTTTAAAAACTTTGGGGCACCTTTTCTTAAGCCCAGCAAACTATTGCTATTGTCCTATCAATGGCCTATGGAGGAGGCACATGAAAAGGAAAATAAGACCGTCTTTGTAGAGTTGAGTTTGTCACTCCAGTAAAAAGCCCCAAGACAAAGTCCTCAAACTTAGCCACCAGAACACTTCTGCCTGTCAGGTGCCCTAGAGGTTGGAGACCCATTTCCAAAGCTCATTATTCCAGAGCAGTCCTGTGCTTCCTATCAACTGACACTGCCCCTCACAGCAAGGACTGGGACCTAATGTTAAGAAATCCTTTTGATGTGATGTTTCATAGCAAGAACAAACACTTATTAAATGTATTGTATGCCAAACACTGATTGCTTTATTCAGGCGATCTTATTTATCCTCCTCAACACCACATGGCATGGTACTTACTATTATTCCCATTGTTTATGAGCACACAGAGATAGAAAGGGAACGGACAGTCAGTAGGTAGCAAAACTGCTGCTCTAGTCCAGGCGCTCAGATCCCACAGCTCACTCAGCCAATTCCAAGAAGTAAATGCCAGTAGCCTTGATCACGCTTTGAGCTTCTCAGACTTTTACTGATCTTTCTCTGAATGATAAGGGCTCCCTCACTGGGGAAGTGTGGCTAGGAGAGTAGGAACTACAGTTGGGCTCATCAGTTCACATTCTGCCATTTGATCAGAGACTACTATCTGCTAGATGCCATAAAATATCCAAAGAGGTGTCAGACACAGAGTTGCCATCTGAGCTGGGGAAAGATGTTACCTTCGGCAAAAATGTTCATTATGCAAAATGCATCTGGGTACATTAGCTGTGACTGCATGAGATACAACTAGGTGACCAAGGATAGGTTCCATCCCAAAGGTGTTCCACTTGGCTATACCACTGTTGAGGTTTAGAAGGAGATGGAATGGGGTTAGACCTTACTCAGGAGAAGGCATTGGATCACTAGAAAAAGCAAGGTATTTTAATGCATATGGATGAGCCAAGTAAAGACAAGGCCCAGAAGCTGACCAGTAATGCTAACAGTTGGGAGATTAAGGCAAGATTTCCATGAGTGTGGGGCAGCCTGGACTGCATAGTGACACCCTGTCTCAAAAAACAAAAACAAAAACCATATATATATATATATACATATATATACATATATATATATATATATATGTATATATATATACATATATATATATATATATATGTATATATATACATATATATATGTATATCCCAGAAAAGCCCAAAGAGGAGAGGTTCCATAGAACTAGAACACAGCCTTCCTGTAGGGACACACAAGAGTGTTGAACAGATGAGTTGAGCACAGATTTCAGAGGATCCTGCACTTTGAATACTGCCCTGTAGGTACCTGAGAGCTGCTGTAAGTTTGTAATTAAGAAACTAAAGTGATGAAAAGTAAAATTTGGCAAATGTACTTGGTAGATAAGATTTGAACAGAGACTGGGCAGTAGGATGAAAGAGAGGAGAAATTTAGTGACACATACATGAGGCCATGGAAGCCATCCTGTAAGAAGAAATTTGCCCTAAAAGCCTAGGATAGACAGGGTAGACCAACTGAAGTTTGCAGGTATTGCAAATGGTTAATAAAGGATTCTGTAAGTAAGCTCATTTTTTCTATCTGTTCCTCCAACTTGGACCTACCCACTGACTTGAAGCCACTTTCATAATGCCTGCACTGTCGTGGCCTCATCAAGAAAACTTAATGAATGTAGATACAGAGCCCTGAAAAAGCTCCTAAGAATTGTAGCTATTGCTTCTTCTTTTCTTGTTTTTGTGCAATAAGCCTCATCTACTCACATAGAGGCACTGACAGCCCAAAAAAGGTTAGCGGAACGTTGCTTATTCCCCCACCTCCAGACCAGTTCTGTACAGGCTTTCCGAGAAGAATAGCATAGCGATCTGGCCACGAAAAAAAAAGGCCAAGCAAAGGATTTTTTGGATTGAATTATGTGGATAATTACACAATTCTCAATTTATCTCACATCTGGAAGCCTGCCACACTAACTGAAACAATACTAGACTAACATTTGGAAATACATCTGAGCCATTTGTTTCCTTTACTAAAACCCAAAGTCTGGCATATTTTAGTATACATAATATCTAAAACTGGAAGTTTGTTGAAAGCATCTAGTACGATATTTTGATTTAAAACATAAATTACAAAAATTGTGGACAATTAAGAACACTGCTAACGTAATGACAAATCTTTTCTGCATTGCAGTGATTTACTCTGAATAAAAGCTAGAATAAATACATTTTCTGGCTATTAACATCCATCTAGTTACCTTTGTTTGAAATAATGTCTTTCAGATAAACCACAAATGGTGCATTATAAATTAACATAACCGTTCCTTTAGAACTTTATTACTTATTCAACTATTCTTGCATGTGCATTCCTGACATTATAAATCTTGTCAAAGAACAGCTTAGCAGTAAAAGTCAAATTGTAATAAAAGAAGAAAGAGCAAGTGGATGTGCTTGAAAATGCACTCCAAATGAGTCTGTTCTGCTTTCAAAGGACCACATGTTGCTGCTTGTAACCACATAGTATGGAGATAACTCAATGCCATCAATTATACAAAAAGCTTCTGGGGTCTCCCTGAAAATATGTCATATGTCATCATCCAGCCCCTCTAAAATACTCCTCCTGAAGTGACTCTTCCTTAACTAGGAAATATCACTTAGAGTAAATCTGAGTCAGTTCCCAGGCACTTTTTTTTTTTAAGCTGTTTTGATCTATTGCCACAACAGAGTTTCCTGCCATTAACAAGAAGAAGAGCCAATGTCAAGGTCCCCAGTAAGCTGGCTAAAGTCAGATGCCATTATTTTTGGTGAGGGAACTACATAGTTTTTAAAGATTTTCTTATGTCTCTTAATCCTCTTGGGGCTAGAAAGTTATTAAAATTCCCTGTAATCACTGAGAAGTTCCCAGCAACCTTGAATAGTACCCAACAAAGTAATAAGCACTATCTAGGGAAGCTAATGAAGAAATCCTAAAGGACAATCACTTCAGCTGAAAAAACAAGTGATTACCTTTATCTGTAGTTTAGACTTTCCATGCATTGTATTTAATGGAGGCATCTGAGGGGATGGTAAAAAGGAAGGATCTAAAGACAATACAAGCTGGCTCTGGTGATAAAGCCCACACATTAAATAACAGAACCAATCACATACTCCACTACTCCACTATATGTAAGGCAAGGTGTATCTTCTTGGTCTTACCTAATATTAGGTTTGGGAACACAGCCAATAGCTGACATTTTGGTTAATGGGTTTACCTATGGTAGTAGGAGCTTAGAAAGGAAAACTAGTGCAAGCTGGACTATTCAGAGGTACTTTGTCCTGGTGAAAAGTACTGTCTTTGTAGAAGAATCTGGAGCAGTAAAAAAAGCTAATTTGTCTGTTGCAGTTGGGTTATAGTTCCTGCCCCACAAGAACATAATGATGCCTCTGTACCTCTCCTAAATCAGTCTGCTTGGCTTTCTTGTCATCCTTCTGATAAAATTGTTTTTATTTTGTTAGTATAATCCTAGTCAAATGCTTGGGCAGTTTGTCTATGCATGTTGATTATCAGTGTTTCAAAATGATTAAAAGTTAATATTTCTTTCAACTTAAGAGTAACAGTGGGAGCAATGCCTGGTCAAACAGGGCGGGACACGGGGAAAGAAAGGACGATAAGGGAATATTACAGAGTGAGGCTTAAGGCTCTGGGAAAAAAGAAAGCAGAATGAAGCTCAGGAGTTGCTCTTGTTCTCTTACATTCTGCTTCAGTTTAAAAGCATCCAGTGTTCCCAAGTCAGTAACTATAGAAGCCCACAAGCGTGTATCTCAATTATTTAGCATCTGGTCCTTCTCAAGAGTAGCAAAACTGCTACTGAGAAAGCTCTTCCTGTTGACACAACATCAGCATAAAGGCTGTGTATTGCGCTTCAGTCACAGCAACTTATTCTTATAAACCTCAGAGGGGAAGAGTGGGGGCAAGAAAGCTAAAACTGTAACTCGTCCTATTTAAAGTGCTAATAACTTCTATGCCTATCAATTGATGTTAACCACATGTATTATGAAAAGTAGATGATGAATTATGTATTGATGTTTATGCTGTCACTTTAAGATGCATAAAAACTCTCTGAGCCTAAAATACCACAAATTAAAAATGCAAATAATGATAAATCAGACCAATTTGCCACCTGCTATGATGCCAGTGAGATCCCATTGTGGAAGGTAAAGATGTTGAGATGGAAGTTTGTAATCTGCTTGCAAACTTATTGAAAGGGAAGAGAGAAGAGGAGGGGAGGAGAAGTGACTTAGTGCAGTGACACTGAAAGCTCAGAGCACATTTGAACACTGGATAACCAGAGCCAGGGAGACAGGAAGATGAGTAAAGGCCTAGCCTGGACCAGAGGCAATACCTCAGGCTGAATAATCTGTTGTCCCCACCCCTAGTGTTTGTACCAGTTTCTCACATGCTTTGAAGATTTTTAGGATTTTT